ACATGCTACTGCGAAGTATGGCAACTCAAACCGATGCTGACCAACTATGAAAACCGTAAAATACCAATCATACTGTTTGAAGATAATACACTTCGTGAAAACATACAGTTATTGAGTTCGGAAGTGAATCGATAACTAGCTATTGAATTTCAACTCATATCAAGCTTTATGTAATTTATAACTCTGATGGAATTTTTCAAGTTTCAGAATGACTACTGAGTACTCTACTCAGTAGTATGTGTACATTACTCACAAAACTATAATTTTTCGTGAAATATCTTTTAGTTAGTGGCTTTTTAAAGAATCAGTGATTTCAATCAAAGCAGTTATTATCCCCGACTGATGTAAGTTTTGAAGCCATTGAAAGCCTAGAAGTATTAAAAAACTGTTTCGTACTGGTTTCGGTTTCTCCAGTAGTGCAGACAAGTGACTATAAGAGGGATGGAACTCCTAGTTATCAGGAGTTGTGGTAAACACTACTGTTTAGCGCTTGGATTGCTACATCTCTCAGTTCACAATATGGTGTGACCATCATCTTATGCATCCTATGGGTATCTTTACATCTCATTCGGCTGATTAAAAAGATTTCATATTTTTATCAATTTGCTAATTCAACCTGGGAGTTACTGAAGACTGAGTAATTTTTCAAGTTGTTGACGTGCTGATCACGGACCTAAACGGTCCTGGGTTCGATCCTTAGTGGGTTGAGGTCACAGGAGTCCCATACTAGGATGAAATAGACATCCAATGCTCTCAGACTTCCAATTTCCAACTTGCCTTCATACCTTCTCGAAATGTTTTGCTTGTTTCACTATACACAGATGAATTCTCCTATCTGTAAGACGTTTCATCACAGATCAGTAAAGAAACTGGCGATACTCATTAAAAAAAGGATAAATAATAGTAACAAATGATGCTAGAAGATGTTTAAAGTCATCAGTAAACATTTTTTTTTCAAAGCAAAGTTTAATTATAATCAAAGTTATTATTATTATTATTATTATTAGTCCCTTGGGTTCCTAGTGGAACATAGGGCTTCAGTAGCACGCCTCCAGTGACCTCTGTTCTCTGAGATCTTTTGAACCTGGTCCCACGACAGCCCAGAAGCTCTCATTTCCTGCTCGCACGACCTCCTCCATGTCACCCTTGGACGTCCAACTCGTCGCTTCCCATGGGGATTCCACTCGAGGGCCTGACGCGTGATGTCCTCAGTCGGCCTTCTCAGTGCATGGCCAATCCATCTCCACTTCTTCCTGCATATTTGTTGCGTGATAGGTTCTTGGTTGGTTCGTTCCCAGAGTTCCTTGTTGCTTATTTTTTCTGGCCATCTGATCTTCAGCAGCGAGCGTAAGCAGTTGTTGATGAATGTCTGTAGTTTATTGGAAATACCTTTCGTGACGCGCCAAGTCTCTGAGCCATACAAGAGCACTGACTTGACGTTGGTGTTGAAAATCCGTATCTTGTTCCGCATGCTGAGTGCAGAAGATCTCCACACTGGTTTCAGGCTAATGAATGCCTGTCTTGCTTTTCCGATTCTGACTTTGACGTCCTCGTCCGTCCCGCCTGTAGTTGAAACAGTGCTTCCTAGATAAGTGAAGGAGGTTACTTCCTTTAAGTTTCTCCCGTTGACAGTGATTGGAGTTTGTTGTTGTTGATGGTGGTGGTGCGGTATCTTCATCACTTCTGTCTTCTCTATATTCACCTGAAGTCCCGTCTTCGCTGCCTCTTCTATCAACTTGTTAGTTTTTGCCTGCAGATCTTCAAGTTTATGTGACATTAGGCATAAGTCATCGGCGAAATCCAAGTCTTCTAGGTTCTTTTCCGTCGTCCAGTGTATCCCCCTCTTCTCGCTGCCTACTGTTTGCTGCATGATCCAGTCCACCACAATAAGGAATATCATGGGGGATAGTAGGCAACCTTGTTTCACTCCTGTCTTCACTTCAAAGGCATCACTGAGCTTCCCATTGTGGATTACTTGGCATGTGGCATCTTCATATAGTTGTTGAATGAGGCGGATAAAGGTTTGCGGCACTCCGTAGTAATGAAGCAGCTTCCAAATTACCTCTCGGTCGACGCTGTCAAAGGCCTTCTCAAAGTCGATGAAGTTGAGGTGGAGAGGTGATTGCCATTCTATGCTCTGTTCTATGATGATGCGAAGCGTTGCAATTTGGTCTGCACATGATTTGTACTTCCTGAAGCCTGCCTGTTCCGGTCGTAGTTTTGAATCCAGTGCATCCCTTAGCCTCTCCAGGATGATGCGGCTTAATATTTTACTTGGGGTGGACAGGAGAGTGATTCCGCGCCAGTTCTTGCAAGCACTGAGGTCTCCCTTCTTCGGCAGTTTGACAAGGTAACCCTTCTTCCAATCGTCAGGTACCTTCTCTTCCTTCCACACCTTCTGCAATAGTGGTGTGAGCATGGCCGCTGTTGTCTCTGCATCTGTTTTCAGTGCTTCTGGCGGTATTCCATCTGGTCCTGCTGCTTTCCCACATTTCAGTAGCTTTATGGCGTTCAGGACTTCCATTTTCGTTGGGGGATTAATGTTCACTTGTAATTCAGCGGCTGCAGGTGGTATTTCTGGACGAAGTGCAGGTGGTGGTCGATTCAAGAGCTTCTTGAAGTGGTCGGCCCATCGTTTCCTCTGTTTCTCTTCTTTTGTAATTAAATTTCCTTCTTCATCTTTTATTGGTTTCATCTGTGTTGGTCTCTTCCCTGACAGCAACCTGGTTATTTGATACAATGTCGTCAGGTCTCTCTTACCTGCAGCCTGTTCTGCTTCACTTGCCAGTGTTTCGTAGAAGTGTCTTTTGTCTTTGCGTGCACTCTTCTTCACTTCTTTGTCCAGTGTTTTATACATTGTGCTCAGTTCCTCTTGTCGTTGAGCATCCTTGCACTGGTTTATCTTCCGCTTCACCATCCTCCTCTCCTCTATCAGCTTCCAGGTATCCGTCGAGATCCATTCCTTGTCTTCCACCTTCTTCCTTCCTAATACTGTTGTGCAGGTTTCTTTCCACATAGCTTTCAAAGACTTCCAATGTTCTTCCACACAGGTTTCTTCAGGGATGTTGCTCGATGTCTCCCATTTTGTCTTGATGGCTGCCTTGAAGATCTCCTTTGTAGTTTCATCCTTCAGTTTCCGAGTGTTGTACTTGAATTGAGGTCTATCACCAGCTTCCTTGAAGGCTTTTAACTTGATTTGGAAGGTTCCTTGCACTAGGTAGTGGTCTGAACCTACATCTGCTCCTCTTCTTGACCTCGTGTTAAGTAGACTGCGTCTCCATTTTCTTGAGATTGAGATAAAGTCGATTTGATTTTTAGTGTGTCCATCTGGTGAAATCCATGTCGCTTTGTGGATATCTTTGTGCCTGAACACACTGCCTCCAATCACCAAATCGTTGAATGCGCAGAATTCTGCAAACAATTCTCCATTCTCATTCATTTCACCTAGTGCCTCTCGACCCATGGTTAGTTCTCTTCCCGTGTTGTCCCCTCCCAGTTTGGCATTCATGTCGCCCATTAGAATTTTGATATCGCCAACTGACGTCTTGTCCAGTGTTGATTGAAGTTGTCTGTAGAAATCCTCCTTTTTCTCTTGCTCTGCATTATTTGTAGGTGCATAACATTGTATGATTGTGACCTTTCTTCCTTTTGAGTTGAATCTTGCTGTCATGATCCTGGAGGAGATTGGTTCCCACTGCATGAGAGCCTTCGATGCTCTTGAGGACATCATGATAGCCACTCCCTCAGTGTGCTCGTGGTTGGCGTCTGGGTGACCGGAGTAGATTATTGATTCTCCAGTTGACAGTTTGGAGAGTCCACTCCCATTCCATCTGCTTTCGCAAATCCCAAGCACTTCGATGTTATACCTTCTCATCTCCCTTGCAATCTGGGCTGCCTTACTGGGTTCAAACATCGTGCGGACATTCCATGTCCCCACGTTTACTTTCGCTTTCATCGAGAGAAGACACATCGGCCAATTGGCTTCCCGAAGGCTTTCACCAACTGGCGTCATTTCGCCTCTCCGATTCCAGCGGGGAATAAGTTTGTTTTCATTTTTTATATTTTGTTTGTGCTTTGAAGTTTCTTTAGCGGTTAGATTTGTTTTACGGGGTAGGGTTGCTAGCCCTATGCCCAACCTTCCCTCTTTACCCGGGCTTAGGACCGGCTAGTAACTAGTAAACTAGTTAACCAGGCGAGGTTAATCAAAGTTATAATGAATGTTATATATCATCATATTTTGTTTTAATTCGACTTCATTCAATGTTCAATGGTTTCAAACTTCAAAGTAATCTGAAAACAGAATATTTATATCAAGTATTCTACAGTTATAAAATGGAATTATACCGCGTAAATACACTTCTAAAATGGACTGTGAGTTAAGAATTGTAAAGAAACTGAATTTTCTTCTTACATTTCCAATTATTAAAATAATATCATGTACTTAGATAAAGAATTTGACAGTGAAAGAGAAGAATATGAATAGACAACATTTGAGGTGGGATTTAGTTTGTTGAAGGTTAAGGTAGAAATAACAAACGTCTGAGAATAGATTCCTTTTGAATGTAAATATCAGGTTTGATCAGTATTATTAAGACTGCTAGAGTTATACTGACCAAGTGGCGGTGAGCTTTATGTGTAGTATTGTTTTTTTTTTGGAATACGATGTATGACACTGTAAGCTCTATCAGCATCTATATGATGCCTTGTGTTTACTAGATATGGTTGGATAGAACTTTTCACCATTTTCACTTCACTTCTTCTTCTAAATCAACCAGGTAAATGTTCTTATATTAAGTGATGTAATTACCTAATCATCGGCCCTATATAACTAGTTTCACTTGAACAGTTAAACTGATGTATACAGGATGAAGGAGTAAGATTATGATGGGCTATCTAATAGTCTCAGATTGAGTAATGGTTAAATACTGAAAGATATGCACTTTTTTAAACTAATTTACTAGTCATAATTAGAGATTATGTTTCAGAATATATAAACTTACCATTGTATGATTGTAGGCGTATTGAATTTGTTCACCAAGACATCGATTGAGTAGATGAATGGTAGTCCATATACTTCCAGAATTTGTATTACTCTCCTATTTATACAAAAAAAGGATTCATCTTTAAACAAGACATATTAAATAAACTACACTTTATTGACTTGTAATCAGTGCCAACTTTGAGCTACTCCAGTTGATGAGTAAACTATCCAAAAAGTGAAATTAACTGGGAAGCGTTTTATAAACAGCAACAATTTGAACAATGGAGAATACTCTTTTCAATAAATTCGCTTCAGATGCTACAATTATAAAATACATTTATTCAGTGTAAAAACAAGCCATGTAACGGGAAGATATATGTTCCAATCACTATCCACGGGAGAAACATAAAGGAAGTAGCCTCTTTCACCCACACCTACTCAGGCAGCATCGTCTCAACTACAAAAGGCACAGACGAAGACGTCACAGCCACCCAGCATCGGAAATAACAGCAAGATAGGCGTTCATTAATCTGAAACCAGTGTGGAGATCCGCTTAACTCCACTCAGCATAAAGCGTGAACAACATCCAGATTTTCAATACAAATCCAGTCAAGTAAGTGCTTCTATGTGGTGGTTAAGAGACCCGGTGCATTATGAAAGGCATTTCCAACAAACTACAGATATTCATCAACAACTGCCCACACTGGCTCAATACTGAAGATCAGATGAGATGGCCAGAATAACAGGAATAAGCAACAAGGAAGTGACTCTGGCTGGCTTTCAACGAACCAACGAAGCAAGAACCTATCACTCAACACTTATGCACTGGAAGGAGGTGGAGATGGATTTGACATGCACAGAGCAGGCCGACTGGGGACATCACGCTCCAGGCCAGGCCGTTGAGTGGGAGTTAGATGGGAAAGGATGAGTTGGGCATCCGAGGTGAGTGTGACATGGAGAAGATGGTGTGAGGAAGAAATAAGAGTTTCTGGGTTATCGTGGAGCTAGGTTGAAAAGTTTACAGAGAAGAGAGTGGAATGGAGACGTGCTAGTGAAGCCGTATGTTCCATTAGGAACGCAAGGGACAAATTATAATAATAATGAACCGAGCCATATTAGTTGCAACTATTGTGACCTGATTTGGGATGCACAAATTTTTCAGCATCCTATCCCAGGCAATCCGATTTTCTAATTCCTTACTGTATATATCACTTCATCCTTAAAATATGAAATAATTTTACCATATCCTCTTAACCTATTTCGTCCTTCAACGTCAGTAACATTCTATCAAGAGACTATTCATCAAAATACCTCTCATAAACACCTTCATATTGTTTTATCAAATTACCTACGCGGTATAATCGTTTAGATAATCAACTATTTTGCTGAATTGAATTCCAGCAATAGTTGGTTCTAACATTCATATTAGTATAAGACCTTCCCGAAATGACTTCCTTGACTGTATAATACTACTAACAACAAGCGCTTATTGATGACTAGCTTTGGGAGATGATTCCTGAAGTTCCAGTGAGAAGTCTTGACATGACCAGTCGAGTTAAGGAAGTCGAAAATGAAGACAGATAGTCAGCGACGACACTGGATGTAGGTCACGCCATATCCTGAACTGACAGAAGTATGAAATATGAATCATAAGAATCCGACCCAGTGGCCCAATAATAATATGCTGACCACGGAACCCAAATATTCTAGTTTCGATCCCTGGTGAGGTCGTGGGTGTGCACCAGGGCGAAAAAGCTACTGTTCAATTCTCCCAGGTTTCCAATCCTCCTCCAACTGATGTCAATCCACGATCAATTCTAACTTGAAAAATCACTATATCCCCATAAATAGGGAATAATTTTATCATATTCTCTTAACCTATTTCGTCCTTCAACGTCAGTAACATTCTATCAAGAGACTACTCATCAAATTATCTTTCTTAGTTTATTTCATTCAGTTGTCATAGACAACTTATTGTAATATTAAACAGTCACCTTATAGGGCGTAGGTTGCCTACGACCTATAAGTGATTAGATAATCAATCCTTTCAGACACAATTGATCCTATCATTCACGTCTACACAAGACTTTTGTGAATCGACTTCCTCAACTGTACAACACAACTAACAAATTGATCAACAGAATCTCTTTATTGTTGATGCATAATACCTCGATATGGATGTATAAAACTGTACGACATGAAGAAGAAGTTATGGAAAAGAATATTCATTGTTCACACAAGTGACTTTTAAATTAAAATGGGAATTTTTAAGAACAACTTTAAAGGACACCCTAAAGACTGTCAAAATAACCAATCAGGTTAGAATATTTTGTGTGGAGAGACAGTATTTCATAGAATAGAGAAAAGTGATTGGTTGTTTCATCAGTTGTTCTGGTTGGCCTTTAAAGCCAATCATTTTAAACGATTTAGAAATGTGAACACTTATCACTTTGTAATGAAGAGGAAGCCACTTCTTTGAAGATGCTACAGCATCAAATTCCGATTGTTATAGTGTTTCTCAAAAGGAACGGAAAATAACTACCGATTAAGATGAATCCTGTGTGTACAAATGACTGCGAAGTAAAACAAAGTTTATAGTGGTACATCTTATAATTGATTGGTTTCACCGAAGTTGTTCTGAATGCAAAGAGGTTTTGTTCCAAAAAATGGCATTCAGTCGAATAACCAGATTTGGTGTCTGTTACCAGAGATAGAGAGATTCGAAGTGGAGCTGTGGTGAATCGCACGACACTTATCAAATTAAATTGCATTTATCTTGAGCTACTTCAGAGTGATCTGTGTTTACAACGTGAACACACCTCCTATTTATAAGACATTGACTTCCCCACGAATTCATCAATTTACAGCGAAAGACACTCCGTCAGAATATAAATTTACCAAAGCTAGAACATCAGTTATCATTCAGCAGCTAAATGAAGACATCACATGTAAAGTGATTCACGGTGGAAGGATCAATGACGTCCTTCAAGTGAAGACAGGAGTAAGACAAGGCCGTCTACTATCACCAATGATCTTTCTGGTTGTGATCGATTGGACTGGATCATGCAGCAAACCGTGAGGAGTGAGAGGAGGGACATAGGCTGTTTGACCGATAAAAAGAGCATAGAAGATTTGCAGTTCGTCGATGATTTATGCCTAATGCTGCGCAGACTCAAAGATTGAAAGGTGAAAATTAACAAGTTGAGCAGAACAGCGAAGATGGGACTTCCTTCAGGCGAAGATAGAAAAGACAGAGATGATGAGGATACCCAACCAACAACAACAAGATTAACAACAAGCACCACTCACTACCAACGCGAGAGATCTGAAGGAAGTTGTCTCTTTCACCTACCTACCTACCTACCTACCTACCTACCTACCTACCTACCTACCTACCTACCTACCTACCTACCTACCTACCTACCTACCTACCTACCTACCTACCTACCTACCTACCTACCTACCTACCTACCTACCTACACACCTACACACCTACCTACCTACACACCTACCTACCTACACACCTACCTACCTACCTACCTACCTACCTACCTACACACCTACCTACACACCTACCTACCTACCTACCTACCTACCTACACACCTACCTACACACCTACCTACCTACCTACACACCTACACACCTACCTACACACCTACCTACCTACCTACCTACCTACACACCTACCTACCTACACACCTACCTACCTACCTACCTACCTACCTACCTACACACCTACCTACACACCTACCTACCTACCTACCTACCTACCTACACACCTACCTACCTACCTACACACCTACACACCTACCTACACAACTACCAACCTACCTACCTAGACAGCATTGTCCCAAGTACAGACGGCGACACAGGCATAGATGAAGATGTCAAAGCATCCAGCATCTGAAAGACAGCAAGACAAGTCTTCCTTCACTAATTTGAAATGATCAGTGTGGAGGTCTACTGCACTGCATTGCACTCAGCACAAAGCCTGGATAACATTCGGGTTTTCACTACTCATTCAGTCAAGTAAGTCAGTGCTTCTGTGTGATGGTTGAGGGAATTGGCACCCTACGAAAAGCATTTCAAGCTAATTACAGACAAAAATCAACAGCTGCATACGCTGGATACTGAAGATGGAGATCAGATGGCAAGAATAATATGAATAAGCAACAAGGAACTCATTCTGGTTTGGCAATGAACCAACCAAGAACCCATTACCCAACAAATGAGCAGAAGAAAGTAGAGATGGATTGGGAATGCACTGAGAAGGCCATTTCGGGACATCATGCGTCATGCTCGTCCGGGCCGTTTAGTGGAACCGAAATGGAAAACGATGAGTTGGGCGTCCGAGGTGAGGGTGACATGGATGGAGATCATGTGAAGAAGAAATAAAAGCTTGTTGGCAGTGGTGGAGCCAGATTGAAAAGACTATAGAGAAGACAGTGAAATGGTTACGTGCTAGTGAAGCCGTATGTTCCACTAGGAACCCAAGGGACAAATGATAATAATGTTAATAGAACATGAATCGGTACCAAGATACTGAAAGTTTGAATTGAGCATTCTTTTCTAAAGCCTCTTAAAATGATCCTATGCTCTTGATTGTTCAGTTTCTCACCAACCAAGACACATTCTACACAAGTTTCTTCCTGTCTCACCTACTTCAGTCCTTGAATTTAGTTAGATTGCCGCATATTGATTTCAGAATGATATTTCAGTTGTTCAAAATGGAAAGAACTATCTGTTTAGTCAGACATACTGACTTCAAGTATGAAAACATCGAACACGTTGAATATGGGTAGTAGTTATTCTAAAGAACTGTCTGAAAGACTGCAATATGCACATTGGTGCCTAATCCCCGTACATTATTATTCAATATTACAGACTCCCTTTCTCTTCTTAAAAACCCTTATGCTACAGTCTATAACTTCGACAGTACAGAATGTCTGTCGTCTGGATAAGGACAATGATGGTAATGAGTATTGTGCATCAATAAACCTACATCAACAGCATTCTTCAACTTTCCTTCATCATCCAATACCAAAAATAGATTAATTCTGAGTAAGTAGATTGTTTTATGTCATTTGTAATCTAGAAAATGATAATATAAGACATAGAATCTGTCTATAACTTGAAAAAGTTTTCAAATGATTAATGATGTTGTCAACCTGTCTACCTAAGCTTATCAAATCCAAGTTCTTTGAATACTTTCATCCCTTCATCTAAGTAAATCTATCTTCATACTTTAAGAATATTATACGTAAAAAAAATAAGTAAATAGAATAAATGAAACATTTTTTAGATTGTAAATATAATTGTGAAATGAATAATTAATTGACTTGTAAAGAAAACTTTCAGTCTGATTGGTTAACTATAACTCTCTTAGTTGTATTGTGTTCTCTAAGCTGGGTTGTTTAATCATATAGCTTTCACCATCCTTCTAGACAACATCATCAGTACGATAAAAGCTTCATGATTAAACAACCTAACTCAAAGAATACAATACAACCAAGACAATCCACCTGACCTACAAATATTCTCTACTATTTCATAACTATAACTCTCTTTGTTTAGAATGATACACTTGAATATGATAAAATTTATTGTACATTACTTGTTTAAGTGAATCCATTGCACCTTGAAGACAATTCATAGTATCATGTTGAACTTTGATACAATTTTTTCTTCTTGAAATAGAAACCAATTTTTTGATCCTTTGAAGTAGTAACTGTAAATAGATTTAGTAGAATTTCGTTTAAAAAATGTCATTCAATATAATTTTCAAATGGTATTCTGATTGATTACAGATCATTAAGAATAAGAGGAAAGGACAAAGCTATCTCATCTCATTTTGCAACTACTGATGAAGGGGTATCTATGACTCAATAGAGAATAGGAACCAGCTAGGTAGATTAGAGTCTTGGGTGGAAGTTCAGTCGTTCATGCTTCCAATTTATATCGATTAAGAATATAGTACTAATGTGATGCATCGTCAACGGTAAACATTATTCTTCACACCATAAGTGTTATGATCCACTGTACTCGAATCTTCAATGACTCTCTAGATGATATTAAACCATAACTTTCTTTTAGAACCTTCAAAACAAGGGAATTCCTTACAAAAATTATCATTGTTTGTCATTTGGATTCCTAGTGAAATGTAGGAATTCACTACCACGTCTCCATTTAAATCTCTCCTCTACAGTCTCTTTTATCTGGCTCCACGACTGCCAACAAACTCTCATTTCTTACTCACAACATCTCCACCATGTCATCCTTGCCTTGGACGCCAAACTCATCGTTTTCCATTTGGCTTCCATCCGACGGTCTGGACTGGCCTGATGCCTGAGGTCCTCAAACCGTCTTCTCAGTTTATGTCCAGTCCAATCCAATCTATATCCACTCTCTCCTTTGCACATTTGTCGGGTGATAAGTTGTTGGTTGGTTGGTTCGTTGCCAGGTCAGAGTGAGTCCCTTGTTGCTTATTCTTATTTTTTATGGTCATCTGATCTCCATCTTCAGTATCGAGTGAGCGTAGGCGGCAGCCGTTGACGATGAATGTCTGCAGTTTGTTGCAAATGCTTTCCGTAACACACCAAGTCTCTCAGCCATCACACAGAAGCACTGACTTACTTGACTGAATGAGTGTTTTAACTCCGGATGTTGTTCACGCTTTATGCTGAATGCAGTGCCGTGCACTGCAGTTCAGTAGATCTCAACACTAATTATTTCAAATTGGTGATGGAAGGCCTGTTTTGCTGTCTTTTGGATGCTGGATGCTTTGACATCCTCATCTGTGCCTGTGTCACCGTCTGCAGTTGAGACGATGCTGTCCAGGTAGGTGTGTAGGTGTGTAGGTAGGTGTGGCGAAAGGTGTGTGTGTTGGTAGGTAGGTAGGTAGGTGTGTAGGTAGGTGTGTACGCAGGTAGGTAGGTAGGTAGGTAGGTAGGTAGGTAGGTAGGTGTGTAGGTAGGTAGGTAGGTAGGTAGGTAGGTGTGTAGGTAGGTAGGTGTGTAGGTAGGTACGTAGGTAGGTAGGTACGTAGGTAGGTAGGTAGGTAGGTGTGTAGGTAGGTAGGTGGGTAGGTAGGTAGGTAGGTATGTGTGTAGGTAGGTAGGTGGGTAGGTGTGTAGGTAGGTGTGTAGGTAGGTAGGTGTGTAGGTGTGTAGGTAGGTGTGTAGGTAGGTAGGTGTGTAGGTGTGTAGGTAGGTAGGTAGGTAGGTAGATAGGTGTGTAGGTGTGTAGGTAGGTAGGTAGGTAGGTAGGTAGGTAGGTGTGTAGGTGTGTAGGTAGGTGTGTAGGTAGGTAGGTAGATAGGTGTGTAGGTGTGTAGGTAGGTAGGTAGGTGTGTAGGCAGATAGGTAGGTAGGTGGGTAGGTAGGTAGGTAGGTAGGTGTGTAGGTAGGTATGTGTGTAGGTAGGTAGGTAGGTGTGTAGGTAGGTATGTAGGTAGGTAGGTAGGTAGGTAGGTAGGTAGGTAGATAGGTGTGTAGGTGTGTAGGTAGGTAGGTAGGTAGGTAGGTAGGTGTGTAGGTGTGTAGGTAGGTGTGTAGGTAGGTGTGTAGGTAGGTAGGTAGGTAGGTGTGTAGGTAGATAGGTAGGTAGGTAGGTAGGTAGGTAGGTAGGTAGGTAGGTGAAACAGACAACTTCCTTCAGATCTCTCGCGTTGCTGGTGACTGGTGCTTATTGCTGTTGTTGGTGTTGATGGTGGTTGGGTCCCTTCATCACCTCTGTCTTCTCAAACTTCACCTGAAGGAAGTACCATCTTCAATGCCCTGCCTTGCCAGTTCTGCCAACTTGTTAGTTTTCCGTTGAACATCTTCGAATTTGCGCAACATTTTTTTTTGAAATGTAGCAAAATTTATTTGTAAATAATGAAACGAATTTATTCTGTTTCTTCAGCAACTTTAGATGAATAAGGTTTGATAAATAAAATAGTATAAGAAACTAGTTAACTTTCGAGATTGGAAAAATCATCTTTTTCAGACTATAACATATTGAAATAACATGTCTCTATTTTACTCTGTAAATATCTATGTTCAAGGTTGTCAGTGTGACCAAATGTATGAAGTATTTTATTATGATATCAATTTAACTCAAATGTGTAGTGTACTAGTAAGTTCTTTTCATCTGTTTCCAAGACTATTCCCTATTAATGAAGATATTCAGTGCTTTACAAAGAAGCATACTGAAATGATTTCAACACCTTATGAATTCGAATGATTCAGTTTCTCTTCAGAACTCTTTCACTATGCTCTAAAGGGTTCAGTAAAGTCGCTCAAAGGGAGTGAAATCAAGGCATCTGGATATAATTGAATCACTAGACATCTAGAAGTTCAAGCAAGAACTATATGTCCTAAAAAAGCACGTCTTTTTCATAGCCATCATAAAACCTTGACTGTTCTAGATAAACCTTGTGTTAAGTAATCACTGGCTTGAGATGTTATCAGATATGACTCAGAATCAAAACCAGTGGTGGCCATACTGTATGTAGCTTCCTTCTATCTTCTGCTACTCAAAAATAATGAGTGTTTTGTTCTGTATATATCTTACTGTACTGGCCTTGTAACCATCCTATTCTTATTGTGATTTACTTTCATTCACTACCCTTCACTTTAGACCATTTTGTGTAAGGCGTTTCCCGGTGCTATTGTTGTACCATGTTTCTGTTATAATGATAATAATAACACCTATTCACAAAAGTACAGCTTGGTTAATGACTTCGTTGAATGGAAACACATCTCTTCGCTACAACTATTTGTTTATATCTCTCCTTATGAAATTATTCGATTTGAAACAGAGATACATTTTGAGATCCCGGTGTGCTACGTCAATTTTTGATGATACTTCTTTAAGTCAGAGAAATTTTACTACCAATAACATTTAAGTTCACATCTTTACATAAAATGAAATAAATGAAATTGAAAGATTACAGCCATCGGACATACAGTTGTTGATTAGCGAACGATCTGTTCATAAAAATAGTTCATTGAGATAAACCTAGGCATCTTTGAATTAAATTCAAGCAGTTAATCACTATCAACCATCTATCTCTGATTAGTTTTCCAACTAATAAGTGAAGAGAAACTCTCAATAATGACTTCTATATGAGATGATGTCAGTTGGCGAACTATTTAAACTAGAAAAGACTAGAAAACCGTTTCTCACTAGCTCCAGTTAAATGATGAATCAAACGGGTGACAGCCAGTTCTCGAGATGAACAGGTTAACATTAAATCGTATAGGTTACACTTAGGTTGACCCCATCGAAATCAATCAGCATAGATCATAAGATTTGCAGGATAATCAATTCAGGATAAAATAAAACAATAACTTATGCAATTTGGAAAGGTTTGTGGAGATTTATTGATGTCAAGTTGGTAACCTTTATGGTCTGGCATCACCTAGGCGAACATTATAAGCCTGGGAGCACTGAGTAGCCGTTTTGTCCTAGTGAGGAACCCTACAGCAGTGCGCTTCCATGGCCCCATCGATGAGAGGACACAAGACATTTCAGTTCCATGGTCAGCATGTTACCAATGAGCCATTTGGCCGGAATCCAACAAACTTGAGGTCAACGATGACATTAGATGATGGTCATGATAGTCGTAGGCTTAATGGTAACGCGCTGGCCGTGGAACAGACGGAAAGTTAGGTGCTCACTGCTCAGGAGTCCCAAACTGCGACGAAACAGCTACTTACTTCTGCCAGATTTCCAAAGTTCCTCCAAATGACGTCAGTGCATAATAATAACAATTATTGTTTTGTAAAGAACCGTTGTCCAATAAAATAGCAGGGAGATGTAAAGTGAAGGAGAATTGTGCAGTGCATCTGAACAACACATTTCACATGGTAGTCGGACGAAACCCATAGGGATTGAAGTAAAATGAAATTCTGGTCAGCAGTAGGACATTGCAGCTCCGTTGGTAGAGCACCGGAATGTAACCTGGTGCTCACTGGTCCGAATGCGGTCACGGTCCAGATTTTCACCTCACCTTCAAACATCACCCAGTTCATTTCAAATAGTTTCATCACACACATGCACTCACCGCACTCAGGACATGAAAATTTTCAAACTTAAACGGATAGGAAACTATTTACCAGTCAGATGAGAAGACAATATTAAACGTGAATGTTACAATGAAAGTGAGTAAAATGAGGACAACAAAAACTTGATATTACCTTGGATCTAACAAGGAAGGTTGAATGTGATGGGAAGTTGATTTTGAATGCATGGAGGTGGCTTAAACCTCCCAATTCCTAATGCTTCAACAAACTTTATACTACTTCGACAACAGGTTTTATAGATGGATTGAAATGACGTTTGCACAGCCATTTTATGCTTCGTCTCTTTACCAATTGGTGAGGTGGGAAGTTAGTTTTCAGGATCGATTGGGTTAGGCGACTCTATTTGTTGATGGGGTCACTTTGGAATGTGTTCTATGACCTTTTTTCAGTGATTAGTGAGTCCTCCTTATGTATTTGTAACCACACTTAGATATAAGTTAGTAAATACAACGGGATAGAACTTCATGTTTCACTTAGTCCAAGGGCTTTGATGAACATACAGTCTTGGACTTTTTCAATTATCCGAACCTCAGCTGCTTAATACTCTTTGTAGATGGCATTGTTAAGTCTCTGCCTGACCATCAAGCTATTCCTGTAACCAGTGTATGGTAGCTTGATGAATACATCTTTCTTAGGGACAGAGTGGAAAGCATCTTTCAATGTTTTGTCCACTATATGCCGATTTATAAACTTGGTTGGGTAGTTGTTATCAGTCACTGTCTTCGTCAATAATCTCATCTCATCATCCGACGTATCAGCTGTGCATATTCCTTCAGTTCGATTAAATAGGGACCTAACTAAACGTCGTTTGTACTAGACTGAGCAGAAACTATGGTAATTTAAACACTGTTTTATCCAAGGAGGCTTTCAGTAAATAGATCGTTTTATCAATTCATCCTGCCATCAACTGATCAGTATATTTAAGAAAGGTAAGTAGCTATCGTTCTCTTCTACACTTTTTAAGGACATACTACTTTGTAATTCGTTCATTCGATTCAGAACTGCAGTAGCACAACATGGATTATCACTTATGATCAAGAAATCATCCATACATATCTTTTATAGAATGAAACTTTATCACTTAAATCATCAAATAACTATTCAACGTACTATATATAGATTTCTTGAGCTTCCTATTGTTAATTATTTGGCATATGGCGTCTTCATATAGTTGTTGAATGAGATTGATAAAGGTTTGTGGTATTTCGTAGTATTGAAGCAACTGACTGTCAAATTATTTGCCGGTCGACGCTGTTGATAGCCTTTTCAAAGTGGATGAAGTTGAGGTGAGGTAGAGAGTTGACTGCCATTCCATACTCTGTTCTATTATGACGTGTAACGCGGCGTTGCAATTTGGTCCGCACATGATTTGTACTTCCTGAATCCAACCAGTCTGTTCCGGTCGTAGTTTTGAATCCAGTGCATCCTTTAGTCCCTACAGAATGATGCGGCTTAATATTTTGCTTGGGGTGGACAGGAAAGTGATTCCGCGCCAGTTCTTGCAAACACTAAGATCTCCCTTCTTTGGAAGTTTGACAGGGTAGCCCTTCTTCCAATCAGTGGGCAGGTGCCTTTCCCTCCTTATACACCCTCTGCAGTAGTGGTGTGAGCATGTCTGCTGTTGTCTGCATCTGTTTTCAGTGCTTCTGGTGGGATTCCATCTAGTTCTACGGCTCTTCCACACTTCAGTGATTTTATGGCATCCAGGACTTCGACTTTCGTTGGAGGGCCTGTGTTTACTGGTAGTTCTGCGGCTGGGTGACAGGTGGTATTTCTGGACGAAGTGCAGGTGGTGGTGGTGGTCGTTTCAAGAGCTTTTTGAAGTGGTCAGCCTATTCTTTCCTTTGTTTCTCTTCTTTGGTGATTAGCTTTCTTTCATCATCTTTTATTGGTTTCATGTGTGTTGATCTCTTCTCAGATGGTAACCTGGTTATTTGATGCAATGTTGTCAGGTCTCTCCTACGAGCCGGTAGCCTGTTCTGCTTCACTTGCCAATGTGTCTTAGAAGTGTCTTTTGTCTTTCCGTGCACTCTTCTTCACTTCTTTGTCCAGTGTTTTATATGTTGTACTCAGTTCCTCTTGTCGTTGTTCATCCTTGCAGTGTTTCGTCTTCTACTTCACCATCCTCCTGTCTCCTATCAGCTTCCATGTGTCCGAGGAGATCCATTCCTTATCTTCTTTCTTCTTCCTTCCTAATAGGGTTATGTAGGTTTCTTTCCACATCTCATTCAAAGAGTTCCAGCGCTAATCCACACAGGTTTCTTCAAGGATGCTACTCGATATCCTATTTTGTCTTGATGGCTGAAGTGAAGATGTCTCTTGTAGTGTCGTCCTTCAGTTTCTGTTCTGGGTGTTGAACTTCAACTGTGGTCATTAACCAACTCCCTTGAAGGATTTCAACTTGATTTGGAAGGTTCCTTGCATTAGATAATGGCCTGAGCCTACATCTGCTCCTCTTCTTGACCTTATGTCAAGTAGGTTGCGTCCCCACTTTCTTCACATTGAGATAAAGTCGATCTGATTTTTAGTGTGTCCTGGTGTCTGGTGAGATCCATGTCGTTTTGTGGACATCTTGTGCGTAAGCACAGTGCTTCCAATCACCAAATCGTTGAATGCACAGAATTCTGAAAACAATTCTCTATTCTCGTTCATTTCACCAAGCGCTTCCCGACCCATGGTTAGTTCTCTTCCTGTGTTGTCCGCTTCCAGTTTGGCATTCATGTCGCCTATTAGGAGGAAGCATCATATTGATGATCAGTTTGGCTGTCTGGGATAGACATGTTTCGGCAAACTTGTAGTAATGATACTGGGTGATGATTGAAAGTGAAATGAGTATTTGGACCATGTCTGGATTGCAACCAGCGACAACTAGTCCGCGAAACTACAGCTATATCAGATGGTCAAAAACAGTATAGATGTCGGCTTAACGGGGTCTCAAGTAAGCCACAGAACACATTCCAAAGTGACCCCATCAACAATAGAGTCGCCTAACCCAATCGATCCTGAAAACTAACTTCCCACCTCACCAATTGGTAAAGAGACGAAGCATAAAATGGCTGTGCAAACGTCATTTCAATCCATCTATAAAACCTGTTGTCGAAGTAGTATAAAGTTTGTTGAAGCATTAGGAATTGGGAGGTTTAAGCCACCTCCATGCATTCAAAATCAACTTCCCATCACATTCAACCTTCCTTGTTAGATCCAAGGTAATATCGAGTTTTTGTTGTCCTCATTTTACTCACTTTCATTGTAACATTCACGTTTAATATTGTCTTCTCATCTGACTGGTAAATAGTTTCCTATCCGTTTAAGTTTGAAAATTTTCATGTCCTGAGTGCGGTGAGTGCATGTGTGTGATCAAACTATTTGAAATGTACTGGGTGATGATTGAAGGTGAGGTGAAAATCTGGACCGTGACCGCATTCGGACCAGCGACCACCAGGTTACATTCAGATGCTCTACCAACGGAGCTGCGATGTCCTACTGCTGACCAGAATTTCATTTTACTTCAATCCCTATGGGTTTCGTCCGACTACCATGTGAAATGTGTTGTTCAGATGCACTGCACCATTCTCTTTCACTTTACATCTACCTGCTTTTTTTATCTAAATTTATAAAGGGATCTAATTAGTTGAAGTAAAAACCTTATTTGTAAGACCATTTCAACCAGCTACTTCATGCTCATCAACCTGAGTAAACAGGTAGTGCAACTGGAGGACACGTGGTCGGATATCTATCACTAACAAGTAAGGTGAACGAACATTCAATGATTTGAAATATACTACTGAAAAAATCACTCACGTTGATTTGCTGATCTTGTCAGTCAGTTTATTGCGATCCAAAACACTGAACAGCCATTTCTCTTATTTAGGGCCAAGCCCATCACTAGCAAATCATTTTAAATTGGGTATCTCACTTCAGGTTTACGAATCCAACCATATCAGCCCAGCTTCCTGGATCCATTTAGTCTAAAGAATTCACCTCTGTGAACTAATGTTATCTGGCTGCATCACGGATGGCCTGACTTAGATCGGACGAGCGAAACCATTGCTCAGTGTCTGATGTAGCTGACGATATGTGCAGATCAGCCTGAGTGATTTCTAATTACTCATGTTTCTCATTCGTTACTTTATGACGCTTCTATGTTCAAGATGACACCATGTGATGTTGACTGAATTGGATGTTTTCCAGCGGAAACTTCGTTGATCCTACACTTGGAGTGTGCAATTTGTAAACTACTCACAAAATGATCACGCCACACTTTATTTTGTCGAATCTATGGTCTATTTGACAAACTGATCACAATGTTCAAGTGGTAACCTGCGAACCTCTTATCGTCAACAAAGAGTATTTAAGATGGTGTTATTCAAAAGAGGAAAAGAAAGTATTCAAAAAGAAAGGATAAGTACTCACAGAATATATATGAAGAATTAATTTCATCTGTCTTTCTTCTCTATTCAAGATTAAATTGACCTTGTCATTTCTAACTTCAACTGGATCCATTTTATAGTCAAATTCTTCATTTCATTCAGTTTCTTCAAATGATGCTTCAGTAGATAGTGAATAATGAAAACTATAAACCTTTTTAAAACTTCAAGGTTTTGAACTATTCACATCAATTTTATTGAGCAATTTAAACAAATCACAGATTGTTCATTGTTCAAGGGTTGAAAACTATCTCTAAAAACCTATAGATACATACATACATACATACATACATACATACATACATAAAAGTGAAATGTAATAGTGAACCTCCCAGCTTCGTGGCTACATAACAAAATAATCGATTGAATTCTGTCACCACTTAGGATTTGACAATATGAAGATGGTTACCCTCCAGTGACCAATCAATGAAAGTAGTGCTGTGTTGGCATTTAGAGTCGAATAAATTTTGACACATTTTTGGCCAGTGTCTATATATTTCAAAAACTCCCATCATTTAATTACAGATGAGAAGAAAATTCACTGTCGAATATGCTTAAGCTCACAAGATTTTATGCTTTCTGGATACTTAAAAGCATATCGTGATCAAAGTACTTTGCAATACTAAGGAAAGAATCTTAAGCTCAAAAGTAAAAAGTATAGTTGTCTAGTGTGTCTCCAAGCTTTGATATTTGGCTGGTTCACAATCAAACCTTGTGTACTACTGGAGTCACTTAACGCCACCAACAATGACGATAAGCTCCGATCACCATCAATAGGAGAAATTTAAAGGAAGTAGCCTCTTTCACCTACCTGCCTACCTAGGCAGCATCGTCTCAACTACAGGCGACACAGGCACAGACGAGGACGTCAAAGCAGCCAGCATCGGAAATAACAGCAAGATAGGCGTTCACTAACCTGAAACCAGTGTGGAGATCTTCTACACTCCATTCAGCATAAAGCGTAGACAGCATCCAGATTTTCAACACAAATCCAGTCAAGTAAGTCAGTGCTTCTATGTGATGGTTAAGAGACTCGGTGCGTTACGAAAGGCATTTCCAACAAACTACAGATATTCATCAACGACTGCCTACACTGGCTCAATACTGATGATCAGATGAGACGGCCAGAATAACAAGAATAAGTAACAAGGAAGTGACTCTGGCTGCCTGTCAACGAACCAATGAAACAAGAACTTATCACTCAACAAATATGCACTGGAAGGAGGTGGAGATGGATTTGGCATGCACTGAACAGGCCGACTGGGGAAATCATGCTCCAGGCCAGGCCGTTGAGTGGGAGTTAGATGGGAAAGGATGAGTTGGGCATCCGAGGTGAGTGTGACATGGAGAAGATGGTGTGAGGAAGAAATGAGAGGTTTTGGGCAGTAATGCAGCCAGGTTAACGAGATTGGAGAGAAGAGAGTGGAATGGAGACGTGCTAGTGAAGCCGTAAGTTCCATTAGGAACGCAAGGGACAAATAATAATAATAACTGGAGTCACTTCATCTAAGTACTGTCTGTATGTCACTCAATGTTTATAAACGTCAAAGTTTGGTGAAAAACTTCTGAAATACTTGTGAAACGCGAATATACTACATAAGGTGGTTTATTTAAACTCTACGCTACCAAATCTTTCCATCGTATATATTGCACCTGTTTTAATTAGTCCAAATCTGACCTCCAGTCGTATTGAATATTTAAATTAGTTTGTAAGAAGTTATCAGTCCCCCTCTATGAAACTGACAAGTGTAATTAAGATACAACATCATGGTGGACGGCAGCACTCTTTAAAGGAGAACCAGACTACCTCAAATTATACTAGCCGAAATACTCAACTTGAACTGCGTATCTCCACTGAGTATGGTAGACTATTTAAAATGCCTTCTATGTTCTAATATTTATAGGAATGCTTGTGTAGTAATATTAGAAGAAACTTGGTTGAATGACCTTTAAATATTTTCACCACGATCAACCTAGTTCTACATTTATCGTCATCAAATTATACATTTTTCATCGATTATATTGACGATATAGGCTGTATGACTATTAAATGTCATCGTAAATACTTAGACAAATTTGAGTTCATTTACTTCACCAATGTTTATTTGACTCCTGGTTGCAGCGATTATGAATTATCTAGATTGGCTGACAAATCCATGGAATTTGCTGCTGTTATGTAGTATGATTCATTGTCTTTCTTTGTTCTCCTGGTCACAGTGATCTACTCGGTGTTTCAATTCATTTTGTTTGTTGCGATACTAGACTTGATTTTGGTTGATGAATCTGGTACATATGAAATATAGAAACTTGCACCACTACTGATCTCAGATCAATTTCAAAAATATATGATTGACTTCAGAAGAATACTTTTGTATACCAATCTAAGAAGACTATACATACAGCAGTTTCACATATGAGAATATACCCCAACTCACATGTGTGTTACACAACACAGATTAGGAAATATTTAAAAATGATCCTCTACATGATACAATCGATACTGTCACATCTTATCTCCAATTCCCCTCTGATATTTCCTACCAAGCTCAAATAATTTCTCTAAGGTTTAATACACTTTCATCTTCACAATTAAAAAGACTGAGATGAGAAAAAGAATAACTGTACTAATCGGAGCATAACACTCATGTTAAATAACTTAACTGCCTCATTAAACCTTAAATACACCACCTAAACTTAATGTATAATCAGAAGACTATGTCATGTACAAACTCTTCTAGTATATGGAGCATGTTTTAATGATCTCACTGATAAGAGAAAACTCAAAAATTAAACCTATGACAACGTGTGTACTTTGAACGAGTCATTCATACATAAATCTACGAATGTTATCTTCTCTAATTGTTCACGTATAACAGAGTGGAATTCTCCTAAATTCAATGGAACACTAGTGTTCAAATACCTGAAATCATTAAAGCCTTTTCAATGCCTCAGACCAGATGACATGCTAACATTCTACGCTAATATTCTATGTCATCTACTAAGAAAAACCCTTTGAATGAGTCTTTTACCAGAAATGAGGTATCAACTGCCTGGAAGGTAATTGAAAATAGTTCCAGTAGTTTAGTCTATATCTTCTGGAGCAAAAGAAAGTGGGATTTCAACCTGCCTTCATATGCCTGAAGCTCCTTTGCAGGCTGTCAGAGATCTAAATCACTTCGTCTACAAATCCAGAAGGAGTACTTTGGATACTGCAGTTGTTTGACATCATAATATCATTGGTAGTTAATACAAAGGTGTTAAGTATATTAGATCTACCTTCTTGGATTATAATTGTACCTTTGACTGTATCCCAGGACACCTCTTATTGATTGAGCTTACCAGAACTCTGACTGAGTCGTGGATTTTCAACTGACTTGATTCTCATTTTTCGGAAAGAAGACAGTGCACTCTATGCAAAGGGGACCGCTCTTCTTCGAAGGTGCTATCCTCTCTTAGATTCTCTTGTCTTTCGTTTCCCATGACTTACTAATCTAAACTAAAGCTAACTCTGTCAGGTACTTAGATGGCTTAATAATATGCATGCTGGTCGTCGCCTCTTTAGATTCTTCTCAGTTTAATAACTTCTTAACCGAAGTTGGTCACTAGTCTTTCTTAAATGACCTCACACCCAACCCTCACACATATTATGCGGTTAATCTTGGCTTAAGATATAAACAAGACCTACATAAATTTCTTCAGTTCAATAACTCTTCTCTTATGGATAGATTAAGCTTGGTCCATCTTGGCTTATGTTTTTCTTCTGATCTTTCTTGGTCCCTTTATATCCTATTCATTTCCAGGAATATCCTTCACTTGTTCTTTTATAGGTGGAAGCTCAAACTGTCGGACATAACTCAACGTCCGTTTTGCATATACTTACACACTGTTCGCCGTTAGTCTTTTCTGAACTCAAGAAAAAAGTTCTGTATGGAGTAGGCTTTTGAAGGCTGTCATTAGACCACGTGGTACACCGCTAATCTTGATAGTAGATCCCTTTGTTGATAGGCATCTGAACACTTGTAGACAGCTATCTGCAAATATTTTTTTATCTGATGAAACACATCCCAGGCATCCATACCTCTCTCCATGTCTGTCATCTGACAAGACAACTACACACAGAAATTCAATCATACCACCTTATTTAGCTTGTGAATTGTAGGAAGAAATTCATGTTAGACATAATCTGATCAATCATCGACTTTGCAATGGTGAACAGGTATCATGACCTTGAAGTTATTATGCATTTCAACAATCGTCTTATTCCTTATTATGCATTGCTAAACAACACCATTGTTAATAGATAAATGAAAAATGTTTTACAATGGTTAAATCCACACAGTATCACATGCTGAGAATTCTGTGCTGTCAAGAAAATTATACTTCAAAATAAAACCAATATATTATCATTATTCTTTATGTGGTGTTATTGTAATCTTCTAGGTTGGTGATGAAACATCGGTGATTAAGTATTGTAATTACAGTTACTTACTTACTTACTTACTTGCTTACTTGCTTACTTACTTACTTACTTACTTACTTACTTACTTACTTACTTACTTACTTACTTACTTACTTACTTACTTACTTACTTACTTACTTACTTACTTACTTACTTACTTACTTACTTACTTACTTACTTACTTACTTACTTACTTACTTACTTACTTACTTACTTACTTACTTACTTACTTACTTACTTACTTACTTACTTACTTACTTACTTACTTACTTACTTACTTACTTACTTACTTACTTACTTACTTACTTACTTACTTACTTACGGTGATCATCATCCTAGACTGACATCAGTTATAGAAGAAATGAATACCTGGTAGCACTGGACAGCTCTTTTCTCTTTGTATGGGCCTCTTCGGTGGTAAACACCCATGACACTGTAAAAGACCGAAATCAGGAGCATCAGTTGGGATTTAATAGTTCGGATTCACCTACATTTTCTTACTTCTGTCAATCCGTTAAACAGCACGATGATCACATCACGTCACTGATGAATATTTTTCCACGCGCCTGACTTGATTCTCCCTACAGATCACTATTACTCATTATTAGAACTTCGGGAAGCCATCTTGGATGATGTTCGCCCTATATCGATAATATCGACCGGGAAGTAATTCAGCAGCTGCTTCAACATTATGGTTTTGATGTCAGAAACCTTTATCGACCTAGTTCAACGGCAGCTATATGATGATGATGATGATGATGCCACATGCCAAGTGATTCCCAATGGAAAGTTCAGTGATGTCTTTGAAGTGCAAATATAAGAAAGTAAGACAAGATTGCCTACAATCATCAATGCTCTTCAGTGTGGAGATCTACTGCACTGCATTGCACTCCACTCCACTCCACTCACCATAAAGCCTGAACAACATCCAGAGTTTTAACACTCACTCAGTCAAAGTCACCCACTGCTTCTATGTGATGGTTCACAGACTTGACACCCCACGATTAGCATTTCCAACAAACTACAGACATTCATCATCAACAGCTGCCACCCTCACTCACTCCATACTAACGACGGAGATCAGGTGACCAGAAAGAATAAGAATAAGCGAGGAGGAACTCACTCTGGCCTGGCAACGAACAACCAACCAGGAGCCTATTGTTCAACAAATGTGCAGAAGGAGAGAGTGGAGATAGACTGGATTGTATTGTATTGTACTGTAATGTATTGGACATACACTGAGAAGACGGTTTGGTGACATCACGCACTAGACCAATCTAGACTGTCGAGTGTAAGCCATGTGGGAAACTGTGAGTTTGGCATCTGAGTTGAGGGTGACATTGAGGAGATGGTGTTAGGAAGAAATGAAAGTTTGTTGGCAATCATGGAGCCAGATTCAAGAGACTGTAGAGAAGACAGTGAAATAGGAACATGCTAGTGAAGGCCTATATCCTATTAGGAACCCAAAGAACAAATAATTAGTAATACTGAATGCTGAAATTTCTACTCAACCCAGTGATTACATGATAATAACGTGTGTCTTAAAACGAATGATAAAAGCAAAATATTATTTATACTTACAGTCGGTTTAGAATTCCTTGATGAAACTGACTTGAAGGAACTGATTCATTTTCAATGGAAGGGAATCGGAATACTTACTAGTGAAGATTGATTGAAGTATACACGCATTATTTGTTCCCCTTAAATATATAGTGATATGAAAGTTCGATATATCAGCTGAGAATATCAACGTTGGTTGATATGTATAGTTGTCTCTCTCTCTCTCTGACTCGCTCGTTCCCTCTTTCTTCCTATTCTTTGTATGTGTTTCCGCTTGTATGCTAGAACCAATGCACTCTGATGTACTTTGTTAAAACAAAGGAAAACAGATGAAGTATACATATTCTTGATATGAACAAAATATCTTATTTCATTTAAAAGTGATCGTAAATTGTACTGAGATGAAATACAACTTGATAGAAAGGTTTGAGATATTGAAACATCGACAGTTAAAGTGCATAGATTACAGATATATCTCACTCTAATGTACTATAATTATCTAATTATCATATAGTCTACCTTCTAACTCAATGTGAAAGCCACATCTACATTGGTATTGATCATACGAATGAATTAATGAATTAGGATAACAATGTTCCATATATGTAATCGTCATTGAAAGGCACTAATTGTATCCACGTTTACCTTCAACTTTACTTAACCTATAGATCACACTATTTAATTAATCTGTGAAAAATTCATCAGGATGAAATTAACTACTAATGAGTAGTCAACTCTGCTTGACTAAAATAAAAGCAACTTGTACGGTTCATACATATTCAATTGTATCACAGACTGGAGGAAAAAATCAGTTTATTCATTATCCATCCTAAAAGGAAATAACTGTCCTGAACTATGAAACATTCGGTAGGTCTCCAAATGATGTCAGTTCGTGATGAATGCCAACCTGGAGTAAATAAAATTTGCATGCACCTTAAAATTGCCTTACTGTCAACTGCTCACTTATGACTTGCTTCTAGACGAGTTTTCTCGAAGTTCTAATGAGAAATCGTGACTGATGAGGTATTCGATGATGTTTGTACCATTTTGTAAATCTACAAAAACTGGAAAATCAAACCGCTGGAATCTGACTCAGTGACCCAGTGAAAGGTACGAACCGCGGAACCTAAAGAACCCGTGTTTGAACCCCGGGGGAGGGCTAGTAGGTGCTCAATGCTCACGAGTCCTATACTAAGACGAAAAAGCTATCCAGGGTCACGGTTGTCTAACTGAGGTGAATATCATCTTGAAATCAACAAATTCTAACAAACCTTCAAAACCAAATGACTACACTTTGTTGGAGTTCATTATATCACCTGAATATAGGAGAAATGTGGATCTGAGATAATAAGCATCGATTGGATTATTTTATATATTTCAAAAGAAATTTGATTTGAAACTTCATAGTATAATTATTTAGCTCAGGTCAAAAGTTTTTCATTAGCCCCTTCAGTTAATTCTGTATGATTGATGGTTTCGAAATAACTTCACGCTACATAAAGTCGGTTATTGTGCACCTTTTTAACACTTCAATTATCGTGCATCGCGGACATGTAATTTAGTTGTATATATGACATGACTCAGATTGCAGACATAATGATGGACAGGTGGTGAGGGATCAGACCCTGTATTATTATTATTATCATTATCATTTGTCTTTTGGGTTCCTACTGGAACATAGCGAATCATCATATTGCCTTCTCCACTCTAGTCTCTTGAATCTGGCTCCATGATTGCCAACAAACTTTCATTTCTTCCTAACACCATCTCCTCAATGTCACCCTCAACTCAGATGCCAAACTCACAGTTTCCCACATGGCTTACACTCGACAGTCTAGATTGGTCTAGTGCGTGATGTCACCAAACCGTCTTCTCAGTGTATGTCCAATACATTACAGTACAATACAATACAATCCAGTCTATCTCCACTCTCTCCTTCTGCACATTTGTTGAACAATAGGCTCCTGGTTGGTTGTTCGTTGCCAGGCCAGAGTGAGTTCCTCCTCGCTTATTCTTATTCTTTCTGGTCACCTGATCTCCGTCGTTAGTATGGAGTGAGTGAGGGTGGCAGCTGTTGATGATGAATGTCTGTAGTTTGTTGGAAATGCTAATCGTGGGGTGTCAAGTCTGTGAACCATCACATAGAAGCAGTGGGTGACTTTGACTGAGTGAGTGTTAAAACTCTGGATGTTGTTCAGGCTTTATGGTGAGTGGAGTGGAGTGGAGTGCAATGCAGTGCAGTAGATCTCCACACTGATTATTTCAGTTTAGTGAAGGAAGGCCTATCTTGCTGTCTTTCCCATCCTGCCTTTGACATCTTCATCTGTGCCTGTGTCGCCTCTGGTTGAGACGACGCTGTCTAGGTAGGTAGGTGTGTAGGTACTAGGTAGGTAGGTAGGTAGGTAGGTAGGTAGGTAGGTGAAAGCGACAGCTGTCTTTAGATTTCTCACGCTGATGGTGATTGGTGTTTGTTATTGTTTCTGGTTGGTATCCTCATCAGCGGTATCTTCGCTACGTCCACCTGACGGTAGTGCTTCTTCGCTTCCCTGCCTGTTCTGCCAGCTTCTTATTTTTCGCCTGTGAATCTTCGAGCTTAAGCGATAAGATATTTATGCATGTTAGCAGGTTTAACCTTTCCTACTGAATTGTAAATCTCGATACATTGCTTGTAGGCGATGTAAGCAGTCATGTTGATCACATTATTTTGAGTTAGTATTCGTCACTTACCGACATCATCTTGAGAACTAAGGAAAGCCTAAAAGTACTGGATTGATGTTCTGTTCTAATATGCAGCAGTCCGTTCCTCTGACTACAGAAACTATCAAACTGAATCTCTATCCACTCACTGCTCATAAGTGAAATGCTTGGAGGTAACATGTTTAAAGGTTCTCATGAGAATTTGTCACTGGTGCAGTAATCCAAGTTGGACATGAGAACAAATATTAGACAGTGGGGTTGGACGAAAGTGGGGCTATACTGAGAATTGACAGAGGTAGGACTCTGAACCACTGACTCAGTGTTAACATGTTCACCACAAGACCTAATGGTCCTAGGTTGGGTGCATGATGTGGAGGGGATGTGTGCGCACTACTGAGGAGTAGCATACTGGGACGAAACACCTGTCTAGTTCTCTTGGGTTTTCGGCGGTTCTGCAACTGATATCACCCTATGATGAATACCACCTTAAAGTCTTTACGTCTAAGTAAACCCCCAAACTAAAGCTATTCTGATGTTAAAGTAATCCATTACATGCATTCTCCTCAATGTAATATGATTCATACTTCCAAATATTGCTGAAGTCTACTCACACTTTCTTGAGAACAACTCTTAAAGTTACCCTAGCAACTGTTAAACTGATCAATTAGATTCCTCCATTTTGGCTGAAAAAGTATTTTTCTCATCAAATAATAAAATTTATTTGGTTACTTCATTCGTTGTTTAGGTGATCCTTAAACCCACTGGACATAGAACAATGCACAATAACCAATTATAAATTAAACATGAGATTATTTCACAACCACGTCTTCTTCACTTCCTACATTTTAGGTTAATGATGATCATGATCTGAAATCAGTAAGAAAAACATTTGAAACCTGAGAGAACTGGACAGCTGTTTCGTACCATTATGGGACTTTTCAGCAGTGACCACACATGACCTTGCTAGAGGTTGAAGCCAGGATGTATGGGTTGGATGGAGGTTGCGCTGTTTAATGAACTGACAGAAATCGGAAATGTGAACCATTTGAGTTTATCCCAAAGGCTCATTGGCAACGTGCTGGCCATAGAACCTGAAGATCATAGGTTGGATCCATACCAGAAGGAAACAGCTTCTCAGGGATCCCAAGTTTCCAGTGTCTTCCCAAATGGTATCAGTCTATGATGAATACCAACCTGAAAGATGTTTTCATAAGAACAGTTTAAGGATGTGCATGAAAGTAGGATGTGATACACAAAAACGGAGATAGATGTGATTTGGTAGACTCATCTTTTGGATAACGGGTATCGATTGAAGGTGAAATGGAAATCTAGATCACAGCGGGATTCGAACGAGTGACCATGTTTCCAGTTTGCTTCTCTACCACCTCATCTGTATTATATCGGTAGTTCAAGGGATACTAAGGAAGTTGACAAATATATTAAATGGTGAAGAACGTATAGGAAGTGGTTTTTCTCGGACTAATGGAGTACTTCACTGACATAAAACAAGTTATTGAAAAAGTTGATACTAATGTATGTTGGACTAGAAATAGTAAATGACCACACGAAAAGTGGTGACTACTACCGCTACGTTATATACATCTAGGTGGCCATCATTGGGATTCAGGACGCTTGTTTCGTTGGCTGGATCTACCTGTACCCCAGTGAGTGATGTTGTTTCCATTACCAAATACCCATCTCTTCAAACGCCAAAGCTTTATCCACTAGGTCACTACGGAACGATATGCACTTCTTATGCAAAAAGTATCAGTTGTCGTGGTTGTCATACTTGCAATTTCTTGGTGATATACAGGGCCAAATTGTTCTATTTCTTTTACTAGATGAGCGCCTTGATACAGACACCTCGATACTGCTGAATATTCATGAGGTTATATTCATCCTGATGACTAGCAGTACAATCCAGGACTCGCTAGTCACTGCTGTTCACTAAGATGAATATTCATTAGTATCGAAATCTTCGTATGGTAGCCCATCTGACAACAGGGTTCACACAATTTGGCCCTGTATCGTATCAAAAATCTACGAATTTCTTTCACCTATCAAACCTTTATAGCTTAGAAATGATTACCAGAAAGTGAAATGTGACATCATCTCTTTTGGAATGAAGTAAATATTATATTGCACTATGATGTAAGTCAACCGAATATGAGGACAGTTATTCAACGACGGCAGATCTCACTGTATTGTGAGCTAAAAAAAATGAACCATTGGATTCCAACTCAGTGGCTGAAAGATAACGTGCTGGCCTTGGCGGCGTGGAGTTGTGGGTGTGCATTGCTGAAAAGTGCCATACTTGGACGAAACATTTGTCCAGTACTGATAGGTTTTGACTGTTTCGCCAGATGATGTGTCAGTTCATGGCGAATACTAACCCAAACATAAAATTGTTGGCGATTGTACTATTTAGTCGAAGGAATGAAATTCTGGTCACGCAGCTTCAAAATTCTGAATCCTATTTAAAAATGACGTTTTCTTAAAATAACCAGTTCAATGCATGCATATCCAGCTGATATGTCCCAACCAGGGTGGAACTCATGTCCTAGATTCAACTGTTAGCTAAACTCCATCACAACCATCAGATAACAATTTGATAATAATAACTGTCTTCTTCTAAACAACATACAGAGTCAAAGTCACTCTGAGAATAATATTATCAAACAAAATGTTTATTGCATCTAAATAATGTTAGTAATAACAGTATTTAAGGCAATAATAATAATGGTGCTAGAGAGTTATTCAGCCAGTATAAGAATCTACAGGCAGTCAACCATCTACCTCAACTTCGTTGACTTTGAAAAGGCCTTCAACAGCGTCTACCGACAAGTAATTTGGCAATTACTTCAACACTACGGAATACCACAAACCTTTATCAATCTCATTCAACAACTATTTGAAGATGCCACATGCCAAGTAATTCACAATGGGAAGCTCTGTGACACCTTTGAAGTGAAGACAGCAGTAAAACGAGGCTGTCTACAATCATCTATGATATTCCTGATTGCAGTGAACTGGATCATGCAACAAACAGTAAGGAGTGAGAAGAGGGTGATATGACCGCGGAAAAGAACCTAGAAGATTTGGATTTCACCGATGACCTGTGTCTAATGTCACGCAAACTTGTAGACCTACAGGCGGAAACTAACAATTTGACAGAAGAGGTAGGGCAGTAAGGACGAGACTTCAGGTGAACTTAGAGAAGATATTCAACCAACAACAACATTAACAAGCTGCAATCACCATCAACGGGAGGAACTTAAAGGAAGTATCCTCCTTCACCTACCTAGGCTGGGTAGCACTTTTTCGACTACAGGTGGCACAGACGAGGACGTCAAAGCCAGGACCAGAAAAGACAGCAAGACTGGCGTTCATTAACCTAAAACCAGTGCGAAGATCTTCTGCATTCAGCACTCAGCGTGAATAACATCCGGATTTTCAACACCAATCCAGTCAAGTCAGTGCTTCTGAATGGCTTAGAAACTTGGCGCAACACGAAAAGCTTTTCAGACAAACTACAAACATTCATCAACAACTGCCTATGCTGGCTCGCTACTGAAGATCAGATGGCCAGGATAATGAGAATAAGCAACAAGTAACTCACTCTGCTTGGCAAAGAACCTGTCGCTCAACGAATATGCAGAAGGAAGTGGAGATGGATTGGGCATACATTGAGAAGGCCAATTGGGGACATAACGCACCGGGCCCGAGCATCGAGTGGAATTTAAAGGGGAAACGACGAGTTGGGCGTCCGACTCGAGGGTGGCATGGAGAAGATCCTGCGAGAAAAAATGAGAGCCCTTGGGCTGTCATGGGGCCAGGTTCAAAAGATCTCAGAGAACAGAGTGCACTGGAGACGTGTTACTGAAGCCCTATGTTCCATTAGGAACCCAAGGGACAAACGATGACGATGATGATGATGATGATGATGATGATGATGATGATGATGATGATGATGATGATGATGATGATGATGATGATGATGATGATGATGATGATGATGATGATGATGATGATGATGATGATGATGATGATGATGATGATGATGATGATGATGATGATGATGATGATGATGATGATGATGATGATGATGATGATGATGATGATGATGATGATGATGATGATGATGATGATGATGATGATGATGATGATGATGATGATGATGATGATGATGATGATGATGATGATGATGATGATGATGATGATGATGATGATGATGATGATGATGATGATGATGATGATGATGATGATGATGATGATGATGATGATGATAGGAATGTACAACTCCAGCTGGTATCTAAGGTATAGAAACATGATTTACTTTTACTTATATTACATTATGTAAAGAATGGATAGCGGCCTCAGCAGCTTCTGCCGCTGTCACTGATACACCACTAGTACCACTACCGACTGTCACACCTGTCATATTATTTCCAACGCAACCTGTCTGTGATTGAATCTGCTGTAAATGATATGGATGATGAGGATGATAAGATTGTGAATTTAATGTAGAATTGAATGGATGTGAATTCCATGGATATTGATTAGATTGTGAGTGTAGATTACCTCCACCAGTGTTGACTGCCACAGCTGCTGCAGCTGCAGCAGCGACGGCTACAGCTTTCTGATGCTTTTCATAGGCTAACATAGCGGCATGATTATTACTGCTCATGTTACTACTGTCATTATTACTACTATTATTATTAGTAGTAGTAGTAGCAACGGTATTATTCATATGAAATGTATTCATAGGTGAATTATGGTAGTCTAATGTGTCAATACGACGGTTAGACTGAATTGTATTTATCGGTGAATTACAGGAGACATTATTTGAACATCGTCCACGTGTGAATCGATTATTACTAGTAGTAGTAATAGTAGTAGCATTGATAGTGTTGTATGGTTCAGTACCAATCGGCAATGACACCGGTACTCCTTCGACTACTGCAGTCGTTGCTGAAGACGACGATGATGACCTTGGACAATTGTTTCGTGTTCTTGTAGAAAAATTTGAATTCAAGAATTCATTTGACCCACTCGAAATATGATGCATATTGTTATTATTATTATTATCATTATTACTATTAGTAGTAGTATTAGTGATATGCGACAAATGTAATTTCGATTGAAACCAGTTGGGCTAAGATTCCCAGGATAACCACTAATCATTGCAGCACTAGTTACACCCATTAAACGTGAAACTAGAATATTTTAATAAAGAAAGAGGAAATCTTGTCAAGTTAAGTAATCATGATCTATTTTTTTTCAAATAAAGTTGGTATACATAAATAATCATTGAAAGATGCTTTAAAAAACATAATGACAAGAATATTTAAGTGTCACCTGTATAGTGAAGAAGAATTTTTAAGCCATTAAACCAACTGTGGGATAATTGAGGGTTAATTTGAGACTAACTGATGAATTCTCATGTACACATACTATTGAACGGTGGTCGAACTCACTCAGGACACCTTAATATTGGATGCGAATACTGTTCTGTTCTTGAGCTACTTATCTGTGGCTTAGAATCCCTTCATAATTTTTATTGAACTAATGAAAATCGGTCTCCTTATAGTTTATTTACACTGAAGCCATCCATCATCCATCCAGGTCCACCTGGCACTAAGCATTACTGCGTAATTGTCCAAGTTGCCACACCTCATATCACCACATCAAGTAAAAAGATATTGAGGTGCAAGATGAATGCCCTCAAAAAAATATAAAGTACAAAAAGAGAGAAACAAAGAATGAGAAAGTTGTGAGATTCGGTATAGCGTCGTTGAGATAAGCATAATGTGTGTATACATCTGCCCCACTGACATCGCTACTCACCAATATCAACTACAGTCAGTCTACAACCACTGGTTCCTCTTGTTCCACCAACCCAAACAGACCGGCTAGTCTGCATCGCCCCCCCCCACCACCACCACCACCACATCGCTCAAACCAACAGTCAGAGACTTCATGCATTGGTGCCATGTTTTAGTATGGCCATCTCGCGGCTCCCTCCAGCCTCGAACTACTTCAGCCAACATTGTGTGATCAGGCAATCGGTGACTAGGCATACATAACACCTGTCCCAACCAGACATCTCAGTCCATCAAGGTTCACAACCTAGTCAACAGATTTACCTCTACTCCATCTCGAAAACTCTACACCTACACCTCACTTCTGCATTACTCACGTGCTGACACCACACAATACGGCCTACACTACCAAGGCAACGGTGGTCAAACAACACCTGAACCCACAGCTTTCTCATGTCTTCCACCTTCAATGGTCATGTTTCACAGCCATACAGTAGGACAGAGTCGACTGCTGTGCAGTACACACAACCCTAGTAACGATCGGATATCACGGCGGCGTCACAGGTGGCATAAATTGGCAAAAACCAATCCAATCTTTTGTATCTGTGCAGAAATTTCATCGACAACTGATCCTCCAGGGTAGATCTGATCCTACTTCCTAGGTAAGTGAAGTAGTTGACAGACTCATCCACTTCACTCACTCTCTATTGTTAGCTGTGGCACTGTTAAGACCAATCCTGGAGCAGCAAGATCATTTGTGTAGCAATGGTGATTAGTAATACGCTTACTAGAGAGGAATTTCCAGCTTTCAGTGGCAAGCACTTTCTCCTTTACTTAAATGAAAACCTACCAGTTGAGATATGAATATTCTTTTCTCTATTTTAAGTTTAGCCTCATATTTGACATATTTATAACTCATAGACACAGTCGTTGAACAATTCAGCCTTATATAACAACGAGAAATTAAAACTACTGAAAAACAACGACTGATATCCAACTATCTTACAAGAGGTGGGTAGGGGATAACTTTTTGGCCATTGGAACGATTAGTCCCGAATTCCAGTCTCATTAGAGACAAAATCACAGATTTCGGTGCAGGTACACTCAGCTGATGAGTCTTGAGTAGAACGAGATGAGCGTCCTAGATTCTATGGCTAATCATCAACATGGAGTTAAGCTTAGAAACACTTGACCGCCTTTGTAGACACTGGACAATGAGGTGTATTTGAAACCTTGGCGAAATTCACATTCTTTTACAGACTGTCTAGACTGTTGACAGCACTAATAACTCCCACGTAGGACTGATATTACGGTTGCTAAGTGTATGTCCATAACTGATATACTCAAGTGTAGAAATACTTCAACAATCAATACGCTGAACGATTTGTGAGGTAAGATGCTCTCAGTCAATGTTGACGTTGTCTATCTCTGCCTCTCACTCTCCTCTATGTTTGTGTAACACCTTTTTTCCCTAATTAGTTCAATTAAATTGGGATTAATAATCCCAGATACCATTTTCTTTTCCATTACATTATTACACTTTACATACTAATTTCACTTGGGAGAAGAGATTAGCCATAGTTACTATGATCATTTTCGCATGAGTACGTGAGTATCTTTCAATCCCCTCCATCAGTCAGTAGTAGCTTTCACCATTTGAGTTATTAAATGATTCATTCCACTGTAGATGTTCTACAAGGCATTACTACTGTGGAAAGGGTGACACAAACAGGGAGCACAATTCGTTCATTTGTGCTACAGCTGATGTTGTGTGTGTGGTCAAGCCTTTACCAACCTCACATACACACACACACATACACACAAACATAGAGATAGTTGTTCTTATGACCTCAGTAACTAAGTGAAAAACACAGCAATTCATTTTGTTCAGTTTTTTCCACTTATAATGGTGTTTCTGAGAGGCACTTATCCATCATTGTGTAATTAATTGTTTCTTCATTCACTAAGTAGAAAAAAAATACTGTAGAATGCTCATATTAACAATACTACAACTATTAATACTACTCACATTATTAATACTACTATTACTATGTCAATTACACCAACGAATAAAAGTGTGGTAATAATGTCGAAACTAATTTGATCAATTTTCAATATTTACTTATTCAATGAAGTCACATAACCCAACGATTATTTTCTGTCGGGGAAGACGATGGATGGGGAAATGTCCTTGGTAAGCTTGTATACAAACGAATATTGATAGTGACACGTGTATTTCAGGTGGTCAAACACTCACTACACACACACACACACACACACACACACACACACACACATGCATAGATAGACTTGAGAATGTAAGTAAGTCATCACAATAGTCTAGTTGAAGTGGAAAAGAAAACGAAATGAAAACATGATTACGTAATACGATGATTTTGTATTTCGTTAATTGAGCATAATTACTGAGTGAAATGAGCATAAAAGTGACTGTAACTTGTTTGTGTGTGTGTGTGTTCGTGTGTATTTGCGCGCTAGAAAGGAATGTCATGAACTCTAATGTATACACTTTTTGAAGTTTTGAAGTTCATGGTATTTGTCAGTTGAAGAACTAGTCCTAGTATAGAATTCATCAAGAGTATACAGTCACCGCCTCATCATCAGTTAAACCATAAGCCTTCAGATGTCGTGAAGAGAAGTCTAGGGTCGCATTGTATCAGGTGAGTGATTAATACACAGAGGGGAAAGTAATGAACTCATCAACAGAAGGCAATGTATATTTCATCATAAAATTGTCAAAGTGTAAAATAGTTGAGATATTAAGATCTTAAGACCAATAATAATGTGATAGAGTAGGAAATAAACAGGATATTATGAAAATAAGATTACAATTGCGTAATGCAGGTTCAGTCTATGACATAGTAGAAAAATGAATAAGGTACACATGTGTAGTTACCTGATACAAAATGAATCTGTGGCCGACAGGGCTTTATAATGGCCATAGCAAAGATAAAGGTTGGATGTACCTTTTTTGCACGCATAACGCTGATTTGAACTTCTGGATGTCTAGTGCTTCAGCTATAGACAGATGCCTTGATTTTATTCCCTTCAAGCGATTTGATCGAACCCTGTAGAGAATTTTGAATGAGCTCTCGAAAGGCGGTAAGTGGTCTGAGTTCACGAAATGTTCTGTTATCGAACTGAAGATGCTTTTTCCGTTCTCCCTTTGCAAGCTAGGCTGGGTAGTGTAGAGTAACAGAAGAGAACGGAGGACAGGAAAAAAAAAGAAACAGACAACAAAGAAACATATTTAGTATACAAAAGGTCGCGTGATAAGTAACGTCCGTAGGTGTTCTTTATGAATACAAACCTCAGGCTTAGTTGATCTTATAGCTATAGCTGCAGCAGGTGGTAGTCTTCAGAACTCTTCATATCGGTGAAAAAGTTGTGTTATCATCTATATGGTTTTCTGTGTGTCTACCGAATGAACTAGTATAGAACTTCTAATGCACCGGTAACCTCACTGTTTGTAAACCAAGACGATAAATGTTATGGTAGTTGAAGACGGAAGTGAATAATTGTGCACCTTATTCAACTTGTTCCATAGGAACAGTTGAAGGTGAATGTCCAAGATGAAGAGCTTAAACTAAGTAAAATAGGTATCCTTAAGTTTCTACTTAAAAATTTTGTGTCTACTAAAGGGGATAAACACAAATGTCCTGAGTAAAATGTTCTGTTTATTGCTACAGATAGACATGACCATAGGTTTTATTTGGAGCGTCTCCAGGGATTTTTCAGATGCAGAAGTAAAGATACTTCTGTCAATTCATGTTTAAGAAAATGATCTATGATACTTATTTTTATGTACATTCGTCACAATATCCATCTTCCTTTAAAATATCCTGGAGGACTTGTAATCCCTTCTCTAAACATTACCTCAAAGTGGATCATTGGTAGAATGTTAAGGAAGTGTGTATTAAATTTGCTTATTTGATTGATAACACACACAGAGTGATATAGTATCATCCACTAAATGATGTCTTGAGCATCAATTCTCTATTGCTCATAATCATATCACTATGTAATCACACTCCACTTTCGACAGACGATTCTCATAGTTATGTCACCTCATATGAGTTGATTTTATTGGGAGCAAAATTTTCCATATCTCTGGTATGCATGATGAGTGTTGCGTCATTTCTATTACATGTGAAGGCTGGGTGTTTGTTGATTCGATGAACAAAGATTCAGTAATCAATCTCCACCTCATTATATTGGACTCAAGTAT